CCATTACCATTTTTATTATTAATTATTAATTATTATTATTATAATTATTATTATTTCATTATTATTGTTGTTATTATTATTACTATTGTTTTCATCCACTATTATTGTTATCACTCATTATCATTTACTATTTCCATTACTATAACTGTTATTATTATTATTACCATTGACATTATCATACAATTATTACTATTAAAATTTACTATTGCTGTTAATTGCGTTTGTCTTATTACTTATTATTATCGGCAATATATTTAATGGAAAATGCAATATTCAAGTTTTCGATTATAAAATGGGGATTTTTTTAATAATGAAAATTCTTTGTCAGCATGTTTTTTTTTAAATACTCGCTTTTCTCTAAATTTCAACAATAACAACTCTTCTCGAATTAAGCATTTAGGTATGCAAATAAATTCGATATCTTTTGCATAAAATGGTGTTATCCGATCTCATCATATTATTATTGTTCTGCTTTGGAAAAAATTATCATTAATTTCAAATGGAAATCACTAATTTATATTTCTTTCGACCAATATTTTACCAAAATTGATTCACGCTGCTATTAATTTCAAATTAACGGTCCATTTAATTAGCCGATTAAATGTTATTTCTATATGTTGCTCCAGCAAATTAGTCCATTTAAATTAACAATACCCGACAATTTTTCTATCTAATTTAATATTTTTGACATTATGCCTTAATGCGACAAGTCAATAATTAATTGTATTTAATTCAGGAATTACCATGAAATACTTTATTTTACTTCTATTAAATAATTGCAAAATTATTATAGAAAATGATGTTTTTCTTGGTTTTTTTTGTTTTGAAAAGCATTTATTTTTGAAATTATATCAAGGGATAATTTAATTTTGGAAGAACTAACATCAGGTGGTGAAACGGTGCCTTCTTCGTCAAGTCGTTCAATGGCATAATCAACGGCGCAAAGAGTACCCGTACGACCGATACCAGCCGAACAATGTACAACAACCGGTCCTTTTTCTTGTATTATTCTTAATTTCATAATTAATGCTATTAATGGTGAACTAGAACGTGGTGATGAACGATCCGGCCAATTAGACCATCTGTAGTGATATACTTGATGTGTATCATCCCTGTAATATCTTCTTTATGACTACTTTATTTAGCGGCAACAATTATCCAGGTAAATATGATTGAACAAAAGAAAAAAATGAAACGAATAAAATATTTTGCAAAATAATTGAGCCTAAGAATTAATTATATTAAGAAATTGATGAAATCATTCATCCTACTCTAATCGTACGCTCATAATTTGGCAGGTAATCGTTTCTAAATGTTCGCCATCTCTTTGATTTTTCACAGTAATTCCGCCATACTGAACTTTTTCACCAGTTGTTAAAGGATAATACTCGGCGCATTTTGATTCACCATCTTCGATAAAATCACACAACATTACGATTGCTCGTACTTCTTCCTGAAAAATTTAAACAATAAAAAAAGGCTAAAATAGCAGGATACTTGATTGTTTTCAAACATGATTTGCATATAACTATGAATTTATTTCAAAAGATCTACATAAAATAAATAGATAGATTGATACCTTACATTGATAAGTTTAGTAATTTGTAAATTTGTTTGAAGAAAAGTTTTTTTAAAAATCAAAAAAAATTTATATGCATATTTTAAAACATGTGAACAAATTTATACTAACACCTACACATGCTAATATTTAAGTCATTCATCCATCAATGCAGCAGAGGGAATATTTGGCAAAAAGATAAAAATAGATGTGGTAAACCTTAAAAATCATCCACCAGAAATCTTCAATAGTTTCCTCAAGTGGACCTTGTGTACAGATGTACCGTCGATTGGTTGACATATGAACCCAATTGGCATGAATATAATTATTATTCCTCGGGCGATCTTTTAGGATTACCCGTGTTTTATCAAGGCACATTACATCGGTATATCTCAAATCAAGATGCATGATTAAAACAACAAATCAAAAGATTTCCTTATTACAAATAAATTGGTCTTAATTTCGAATATACTATTTAATTATTATTTTTTTTTAATTGATATTCAATATTATAAAGTGCGGAAAATTTATGATGTTAAATTGCAGATATTCTTTTAATGCTATTTATTTTATCAAATACCAATTTTATATATTAAATATCATTGATTATTTTAATTATGCGGTAAGACCTACAAGTTTTATTTTATAAAACAATCTATAGGAATGGAAAAGTAGAAAATCACTATAATGATGAATTTTATAACTTGCCGATTTTTAGCAGGATATCGATCAAACATAATGGTTGTCATTTCAGGTGGCAAAAATTTTCGGACAGAAGTAAAATCTTTCAATATTGGCCGTAAACCTTTACGACATATAGCTCTAATGCATTCAGAAGCATTGTCTCCAATTTTATCAGCAACAACCATGGGATCTTTGCATACTTTAAAATTTTATCTTTACTTTTCATTCTGGATAAGGACACTAACTTTTATCAGTAATGCTTAGCCATAAAGTTTTATTTTACATGGCTTTCCAGAAACTGTGATTTATACGATGAAAAAAATTAAAAATTACAATGAAATTATAATCAATTCTTGAAAAATTAATGTTTGAACATTAACAATTCATGAGATGCCAAATTGGAATCTTTTAATTAATCAAAGTATTTAGCGCAGAAGAATGAATTATCACCTGAATCATCATCAATATCAACATCCTTTACTGCTTCATCCTTAATATACGTTTTTCGCTTCCTCTCTTCGACCTTTGTTGCACGTCTATTAAGTTTTTCTTTTAATACCTGAAACTTAATTGTCGAATTTACACTTCAACATCATACTGCTTTCCAACAAGAAGTACAAGAATGCTGAGCACTCATGAATTATCGTAATATTAACATAAATTTTATAAACTTTAGTCGATTAGTTAGATGGTAGTAGTTTTACAACTAATTAATAATTTACCCTTACCAAAAAATATTTCTGTTGGAAAAAAAAATAGATAAAAACACAAAGCATACATCTTTTCCTTTTCGAGCCCTGAACAGAATATTCCATTTTATTTAGACTTGTCTTTTAAACTTTTTGAACGAATTATGGATGAAAAAGGAATTTTAATGTTAATATTTCAAATTTAATCCAACATTTCTTCAAAATATGGAAAAATCAATAAATTTTGTGGAACTGAATAGAAAAATCGCAAGAAAAAGTAGAAAAATCTTATTAAAATTTACTGTTGAACACTTACAGTAAACGAATTTTTTGATTAGGACGTTTGGATCGAATATGTTCGGGTACTATAAATTGCTCAAAATTTTAATCTTCATCCCAAAAATATTGTCGACATTATTAATATTATTGCTATTGTTGATATTATTATTATTAATGTTATTATATTATTATATCATTTATTATTATTATTATTATTATTATTATTATTATTATTATTTTATTATTTATTATTATTTATTATTATTATTATTATTATTATTATTATTATTATTATTATTATTATTATTTATTATTATTATTATTATT